CGGGGCAAGAGCGTAGCCCCGCCCCGGCCGCCCGGCTGCCCCGCCCCGGCCCGCCCTCCTCAGAGCCGCCGCCACCGCCCAGGCTGCTGAGGGCCCGCCCGACTCGGTCTGGAGGCCCAAGGGGCGGAGTCGACGGCGCACTCTTGTCCCGCCCCTCCCCGCGCCTGCCACTCACGGGCTGGACTCCGCCCACCCTGACTCATGGTCCCGCCCCGCCGGACGCCGAATTGGCCTGCGGCTACCAGGTGAGTGGCGGGCTGGGGCCAGCTTTGGAGCCCCCTTGCTGAAGTTGGGCGCGGCTGAAGCGCGCCGGTTCCCGGGGACCTCTGCTCTACCAGCACCTGGGTCGTGACCCACGAGCGGGCTCAGCCACAGCGGCAGTAATTAGAACAGCATCTGGAAACCGCTTCTCCTTGCTTGGTTCATCTCAGTGGTTAACAAAAAGGTGCTTTGGAATCAGCCTTTCCAGGTTCAGAGCCCACTGGGTCACCTGTAAGACTCTGGACAGGTTAAAAAACATACAACTCCTACCTCACATTTCCTCACCTGTTAAATTGGCGGTGGTGGTGGGGTTTGATAACAATTGCTCCTCAAAACAGTTGTGCTAAAATAGCATGAAGAAACTTTTATGTGTGCACCGTAGGGGTCGAGAAAATGTGAGGTTCCTTTCTCCCCGCTGTCTTGCAGTCACAAAGGAGGCACATATTAAGCCCTGGTTCAGGGTCCTGTCACACAACTGTGTCAAATAGAGCAAGTTTCCTGACCTGTCTGAGCCTCAGTCATCTGCAAAATAGTGATCACCAGTACAAAAAAAAAAAAAAAAAGAGGAGCCATAGTAGACCTTCACAGATTAGATGAGATGGAAGCGAGAACACCGAGGAGTATACCGCCCGAAGCAAAGCCTAGAAATAAATAAATGGAACAGCGCTGCTTGTTCTACAACATGGGAGACAGGCTGGCTTGAATTCTGAGGCCCTTTGCCCCAAGAAGTCTTTTCCCAGCCTCACCTGGGTCTGTCCTAAACCTGCCTTCTTCCCCATACTCCCCCAGGCAGAAGGGATTTTCCTACAGTTCTCGTCTACAACGCCCTGGTGACGCCCAACGGGACAGGTCTGGGCAGCGCCAGGCGCTTTCAAGTCCCTGGTCCCGGACTTACAAGTGCCGACGTGCGCCCAGTGCGGTGGCGGGAACACCTGCCCTCGTGTGCCGGCTCGCGGTGCCCCGGGGGGTGGGGGGGTGCTGGGCGGGTCGAACCTAGGGGATCCATGGCATGCCTAGGGACACCTGCCCCTGCGCCGCACCGTTGACTCCCAAAACCCTCAATCCCCTCAGTTATCCCCCCTTCTACAAACGCACAGTCAGCTTCTCCCAGGGCCAGGCCCCAAGGGCGCAGCTACCTCCCAGGAGGCCTCTCCATCCCTCTCCACCCACATGACCCAGTGCTGTGGCAAGAAGAATCTTGTTCAGTCATTTGTTTTCACTGTCATTCCTGAGTTGAAGAATCCTCTGGGCTCCTTACTAGAGTACAGGACACACCATCACTAACCAACTCACCCAGCCACACTCCATCCTGGGGACATGTCCTCCCGATCTCAGATTCTAGCTCAGTCTGCTCTTTCTCCATAATTTCGGGTCCTGACTTGGGCCCTTAGGCAGAAGCACTTTCAAAGATAATAATATGAGAAGGTATAGGTGACACCATCAGTACAAAGTAAATCCTGGTTAAAAGTGAACCTTCTGGGCTGGTGAGATGATGGCTCAGTGGTCTAAAGCACCTACTTAGAACAAGCTTTGCGGGGGCTGGTGAGATGGCTCAGTGGTCTAAAGCACCTACTTAGAACAAGCTAAGCTAAGCAAAACACAGGGACCGTGGTTCAATCCCCCAGCACCACATGCCAGACAGCCCCGCCCCCCCGTGGGCTGAGCTGGCCACACACACA